TCACTCAAAACAGGTGTGTTTTGCGTTAAACCCTGATAACGCACTCTGGGCTTCCTCTTTGCTCTCGCTCGGCTCCACAGGTTTAAGTAATGTAATTTCATTTACAGCTGTGTTAGATGCTTCTTCACTGTGTTCATCCACCATTCTCTTTGTTTACGCTTCTGACTGGATTGATTGAGTCCCGTGATTAATCGCACGCTGTAGTGTCTTAAAGGGGAAGGAAACACCAGCCACCAGCGCACAAAGAAAAAACAGCAGAATTATTTACCGACTTATTTGCCAAATTTACTGACATTGGAAAATTTACGCCGGTTATCATAGTGAAGGACGGTAACGGTAGAAAATCCAGTTTATTGTCCCGAATAATTCACAGGCATCATGACATTAGGAGTGCATGATGAGAACATTATTACTCAGCATTTTAAAGAACGTTTGCCCTGTCTATCCTGAGGATGTTCAGTTTAGTGGGCTCTTCACTGTTAAAGTCTGTGGGATATTTAAAACTAATTCACTAACTGCAGGCAACATATATACTCCTCCAATAGGAGGTTAAAAGGATGGCTAAGGAAACAAATGTCCCTGTTGTTCCCTGATTATTAACGATGAAATCTCTTGCCCTTATCTTTTGCAAACCATATCACTGTTACTCATTTCTTCCACTGACCAGTAATAATAGTTGACACCACAGTGAGGTTACTTTATCTTTTAAAGACATGAGTCTACTAATGCAGTAAATTCAGAGCACACGACCCTGAAGATTAAGGGAAAAAAACTGTTATACAAGTAAAAATAACTTTTAAAAAAAACAGTGAGGCAGTCATGGCTGCTTATCTCAGATGTGTTTCAGAGACATTGAAAATGTTAACATAATAGGAGGAGACAAATCAAATTTTAAAAGCAAACAAAGTGCAGATTAGAGAAATGGAGACATAAGCATGATATGATAAAAGAAATGGCACAAATTAGCTACATAAAAACTTTTGGAATTTGTTTTCTTTCCTTCTAATTTTACAATGTTAGATCCAATCGTAAAGAGCGTCAATGTGTCTACCTCAGAAACACATCAGAACCTGAGTCTAGAGTTCCTCTATTTTCTCTGTTATGCTCTCTCCATTTCACACGTAGGATTTATTTATCTTTCTTCCTGAAAGCCAGGTCTCTCAGAGTAGTTGAGAGGTATTTAAAGTATAAACTTGAGGAGGATATAGCAGAAAATAAATCACAGTATCACAGGTGGTAATGGAAGGAAAACCTTATTTTCCAGATGGACTTAACATAGAACTCCGATTTACCGGGAGGCTTTGGTCTTCACTAGGAAGAGACAAACTGTACAAATATTGAAGACGGTTGTTTACAACAAAGTAACGAAGGAGGACTGATACAAAGTAGGTGTAAAAGGCGTTTCCTTACACTGTCAGACATTTGTTAAGTCTTAGATTTAATATAACATATGCTTTGTAGACACACACACACATATACATATATTAAATATATGTCTATAGTTACAGTTACAGGTTCCATCATATAACATCATGTTGGTATGTGGTTTTATTTACTGGTGATTTCAACTAAATGGCAGATTAATTATGAACATTTCACTATCAACCATGAGAATATCTGAAAACAAAACTGTGCACATTTTAGCCACAAGGGGCGCTAGATGTGTAACTTCCTTGATTGGTGCTCTTTAAGGAACTGGCAACACTACAGTGTTGCAAAATTCAAGCATCTCTCTCACTGGTTTAGAATATAATCGCAGACTATCCTGGATCAGCAGATGTCATGGAAGTTACTTGTGAATAAAAGGCCACATTCACCACTCTAGACGAAATCCTACATCAGAGAACCAACAATATGTCAGCGATCTGTTTTGATGCCCAAAAAATCAGCTCTATAGGGTTAGCTTATGTATTGAAGGGGAACTAAAGCAATGCTTCAGTTAAAATAAAAACACAGGTAAGCCCCCCAAGCAATGTGACGAGCAAATTTATACCTGCAGTAGTTTGTTTTTCAGCTACCAATATTTTGTATCTGGAAAGTTCTTTCTGCTCAACCATTGGGCAACTATTGATTTTTCTTTTTAGCATTTCTTCATGTTAAATAAATCTACACCTCAGTGTCACCTAAAGGACCAAATGTCTGGGTATGTGACAACAAATAGTGTTCATTTGACAACAATCTTATCGTCTGAAGATCTTTGCAAAGGAAAATACTTTGAGATGGTCTGTTGTTATGCCTTATTGGTAATTCAGACATGTTTTCTTTGCATTTCTTGTTTATCCTTTGTAAACAAAATTGACAGAAGGGGATTGCTTCACTGCCTTATAAACTTAGTTATTTGCTTTGAATATCATATCTAGTAATCAATACAGATAAAACAAGGTTTAATTAAGGGCAAATCAAACAAACGAGGTGCAGCACTAACAAATAGAGCCTATATTCCTCACTTTTCTCTGTGAACATTAGTGTAAGGAGTAAACTTGCCCTTTGATTGTCGAAAAACCTTAAAGTAGTCTATCACACCTTTTAATTTATAAACACAGACCCTTGAGATCTTTCATTATTTTTTGAGTGCAGAAGGATTCTTAACCTTTTCTAGTGACCTAGGAGTAAAAGTGATACGTTTTGTTTCTCCCCATGTGAATTCGTACTAGCCGTTACAGCATATTTTGCTCACCTCCTTCTCTGTTCACAAACACTCATGTTCAGCCGACCGGTATTTAAGATTCTCCCTCCATCTGCTTCTCCCTCTCTGTTTGTCTTGGCCAGTTGGTGCAACCAGAAGCATTTCTGCATACCTAGGTTGGGGTTTTTGGGTTGGGGGAACTTTCCAGAGTTTTTTTATGACATTAAGACCAATGTTTTCCAGCACATTAAACTCTTAGGTGGCCTTCCAGGATGTGCTTTTTTTTTTCCTTGCCACATTTAGGAAAGATATACCGGTAGTGAAGATAATCTTGCTTACATTTTTCCTCTTCTTTCTAATTCTATGCCATATATCAGCATTAAACACTCGGTTCGGGTAGATTTAGCTCTTAAATGTAGGTTTAAAGTTTGCAAAGCTAGTCATAAATGTCAGTTGGTGCCCAAAGAGCAAATTTGCCGTCTGTTATCGTCTGTCCACTTCTTAGTAGCCATTAAAAGAGCCCTAAAGTCTGTTTTATTACCTTTAAATGCTAATGATGTAGTTTTTGTTGAATAAATTGAACAGGACTGCACAGTGGGGAGCACAACAAGGTTCCGGGTTTGATTCCCAGTCCAGGATCTTTCTGCATGGAGTTTGCTTGTTCTCCAGAGCATGCATGGGTTCCTTCCGGGTACTCCAGCTTCCCCCCACAGTCCAAAAACATGACTGTTAGGTTAATTGGCTTCTCTAAATTCTCCTTAGGTGTGAGTGTGTGCTTGAACGGTTGTTTGTCCTGTTTGTCTCTGTGTTGCCCTGCGAT